AATTTTTGAAAACATTACCCCATCATTATTTATTACCACCATTGGTACTCTTCAACTCAATATCGACCGAACATCTCTTAACGTCGTCTGTGGTGTCCCTAAATATCTATCAACATTATCTTTGATAACATCGTCCCAGACATCTTTTAATATCATTCTTGACATATGCCAAAATTGTTCTGGTATTTCATTTCCAAGAATCCTTATCACTGCTCAATATCATCCCTATTACCCTTCAACATTCGCTTGATATAGTCCCAGTTACTCATCAACATCGTGTTTCGTCTTCCTTATCATTACATAAATGCTCTCATTGTATTTTTGGACCTCTCCCAACATTGTTCATGGAGACATCATGGATTATCCTTGACGTTTTCCCTATGGTTTTGATCTCTCACACTATATTCACTGGTGCACCTCAACATTGCTTATAATTTTTATCAATTCAACATTCCGTCATCGTTTTTGTGGCTTGTCTACCTCACTCAATATCACTCACATCTTTCAATATAAGGTCCAATCTATGTAAATATCGTTCTAGGTACTTAAACTAACATCTTGCCTGTCACTTATCAACTATCAACATCGTTCCCGACTCCATCAGTATCATTTTAAGCCTTTTTCAATGATGTTTATTGATATCGTTCCATAATAAACCTTGGTGCCCCTCCAAGGAGGGGCAGGAGGGGCAAGAAAGGAAAGGGGGGTCCTAAATTATCTTATGGAAGTCTCAGGGAGTGTGAGAAAGGAGATTACAAGGTTTGGGAGGGTATATATTGGGTTGTCGTCACTGAAAATTGACGATTTCATAGACGTGAAGAGGTGCTATAGATGCCAGGGTTTCGGGCATCTCCAACGTTTCTGCAAATCGGAAATGGTATGTGGGCATTGTGCGGAAAATTGCCACGAGTTTAAGAACTGTGGGAATAGGGAGAGGAGGCGGTATGTGGAAACTGCAAAGCCAGGGGGAAGGATGACAGACACGAAACGAGGGGTAGAAACTGTGGGGAATACCAGATAGCGGCGGAGTTGGCGAAGAGAAGTATTAATTATGAGGATAAGAGGAGACGGCAGAAAGGGACTTTATCAAAAAACTAGAAGGGGGAGGGGAGAAGCCAGAGAAGAGCGAGGGGTTGAAAATGGTGTTCTGGAATGTAGCGGGGATTACGAATAAAGGAGGGCAGTTCTGGGAATATTTGAACGGATTTCTAGGGACCTGGGTTGATGAAGGAGGGTGGGCAAAGATTGAGGGAAAGTTGCCAGAAGGGTATAGATGGGATTGCGTGTTTGCAGAGAGGAGAAGTAAGAGAGGAGTAGCGTAGGAATAGCGAGGGGAATTACGGAGGAGAGTAAGACGGAGAGATGGAGGCAGAAGGGAATGGTAAAAAGGCAAATCAAGCTAGAGGGAGAGAAGGTGCAGATAGCCACAGTATATAGTAAAGCAATGAAAGAGACAATGAGGCAATGGGAAGATATGACAGAGGAGAGGAGGGAGGGATACCTGATTATTGGAGGGGACTTTAATGCAAGAATAGGTGAAGAAGGGGGAAGAGGAAAGATGGGGGGCGACGGAGACGGCCACGGTCCAAAGATAAGATTCTGAATGGAGAAGGAAGAGAGATACTGAGGTGGGTAGAGGAGAGGGGATGGGTGATACTGAATGGGAATATGGAGGAAGGAGATGAAGGGGAATATACCTATACGGGTGCAAGGGGGGCGTCCGTGATAGATTATGTGGTAGCGGACCAAGGAATGTGGGAGAGGATAGAAACATTTAGGGTTGGGGCGTTGATATAGCCGGATCACCAGCCTCATCACCTAGATCACCATCTAGAAGTTTGCATAAACGGATCGAGAGGAAGAAGGAACAGAAAGTGGTGGAAAATACATTAGGGTATGTAATGGTGGGATAGGGAATGCAGAGAGACCAAGAGAGAAGTTAGAAGGAAATTGAGACAGTGGCAGAGAGGGGAGGTAGAGATAGATAGATACAGGGTGCGGCAAAACAAACAGTGCAGTTATGATTGGCGACTACAGCCGCTGTGGTGGGGATGGGAGCCTGGAAGGGGATTCATTGTGTCAGATCACTCACCCCGTTTTCAATCGTAACAATGGTTTGGAGCGGAGACCATCGCGGCTTCGTCGTTCGCACGTTTTTTGAAAACGGTCGTTCTTTCATCATCACTCAGCGGATCTTCCGACGCCACTTCAACATTCCACGTTGTGATCCCGTTCCGCACCGCAATGTTATCGCGAGTTGGGTTCGTGCATTGGAAGAATGTGGTTCAACAAAAAGGCCTAGGGGTATGGGAAGACCCAAAACAGTGAGAACTCCTGAAAATGTTGCTCTAGTGAGAGAAGCTGTTGAACAATCACCAACACGCTCTGCCCGGAAACATGCAACTGCATTAAACATGTCCGACCGCTCTGTAAGGAGGATTTTGCATAAAGATTTATTCTTCCATCCCTATAAGATTATGGTGGTTCAGGTGTTGATGCCTCCAGATTTTCAAAACCGTGTGAATCGCGCCCAAGAAATGTTGGAGCGTATCCCAGCAAGGTCAGCGTTCTTAAGTAGTGATGAAGCCCACTTTCATCTGTCTGGCGCCGTAAACAAACAGAATTTCCGTTATTGGTCGGACAACAACCCACGACAAGTTCACTAGAGACCTCTCCACTCCCCGAAAGTCACTGTATGGTGTGCCATATCCAAATTTGGGGTTATTGGACCGTACTTTTTTGAGGAGGATGGGTGTACAACAACCGTCACCGCTCGGCGTTATGTTGCCATGCTCGAAAATTTTTTTGAGCCAGAATTCGCACGGTTGGCTACAGAACAAGACCTCGAGGATGTTTGGTTCCAACAGGACGGGGCTACAGCCCACACAGCGCAGATTTCAATGACAAAACTGCGGCAAATGTTCCCTGCGCGCCTTGTCTCTCTGAGGGGCGACCTGGGGTGGCCGGCGAGATCACCGGATTTGAGCATTTGCGATTTTTTCGTATGAGGGTACCTGAAGGAAAAGGAAGAACTGAAGATCCGTATTAGAGAGGAAATCGCCGCCATTCCTATCGTAATGTGCTAGAACGCAGTTGAAAACTTCAAAATCGCCTACACCAGTGCATCGCTTCTGGAGGACATCATCTTGCTGATGTGATCTTTAAAACTTAAGTGAAAAAATAGGGTGTAGTACTGACTCAAGCAGAATAAACCACTTTTTCGTAGGTTGCGCCAATTTTTTTTAATAGCCCATGAAAACTGCACTGTTTGTTTTGCCGCACCCATTATATAGAAGCCAGGAGAAAATACAAAGAAGAATGCAAGAAAAAGAAGAAGGAGCTGAAGGAAAGGGAGGCTGACGTGGGAAAAAGAAAGGTTATGTTTGATGGCTTGGTAAGGAGCACAATGATGTACGGCGCAGAAGTATGGGGATGGAGAGAATAAGGTTTGCTGGAGGATATACAAACACGATATTGGAGATGGGTACTAGGTTGGCAAGGGTATGTAGTGAGGGAGGAGGTTAAGGTAGATGTAGTAAGTGTGGAGGCGGGGAGAAGAGCAGTGAAGTATGTGGAAATGATAGAAGCAAGACCGCATTGCAGGATCCTGGGAAAGTGCTGGAGGGAAATTAAGGAGAGGAGGCTGATCTATGGGCAAAGAGCGAGGGAAGAATATTATAGAAAAGCTATCCCACTCTTCTATAATATTCTTCACTAACTGGGATCGAAAACAGAAGAGCGGAAAGAGGTGAAATGTGGAGAGAACTGAGAGATAGGGACATGCATATACAGAGGCAGGAAAGAAGGTCACAGATACGAGAAGGGAGATACAATGAAAGGTATGGGGAGATAGTGACAGAGGAACTACCAAAATATTTGTTGATGGAGGGGGATGATGAAGGGAAGAGATTGGTGGCCAGATTTCGCTGTGGCAATGAGGAGAGGGGGAATAGGTATTGGGCGGACGATCTGGAGAGGTTGCTGCAGCTGTGTAGAGAGGATTGGGAGACGCTGGAGGAGGCAAGATTTTGGAAGAGGGTGGCGAGGGCAAAAAATAGATGAGGGTGATGGGAGCGAAGAGGCGAAGGTGTGGAAAGGGGGGAGGAGGGTAGAGGATCTGGAAGTGTATATATATATATATATAGTAGAATATATTAAAGGGAAAATTATAAATATTGAAAAGAATAAGACGCTTATTAATAATAAACCTTGGATGATCATTATGAATAATAGAGTTTATCGCCCAATTTAATAAAAGGTCGAACGAATAACTTTAAAGTTAACCCCCTTCTATATTGAGCGAAATGAAATCCGAACTACCTTTATTATTTTGGCGCCATGCTAAGAATATAATGATATATTCTTGTATTTGAATTCCTCTCATCCTCTGAAACACATAAAAATTCATCCATCTTCTTAAACCATTTCACATCGAGGACATAAATTTCGTTAGATCCTACTTCGGGCTTCATAGAGTCTAGAATTTTTGTTTTATTTCCTATAATTCATATTGTTCTGTTTCCATAATATATTTGATATCCTAATGTTTGTTGTTTTTATATCAAATCATATATTCCACACAGCATGTTTTCCTCGATATTCTTGTACAAACATTGTTATAAATATTTAATTTAATTTTTAAAATTGCGCAAGTAATTTTATGTAATTTAAATTTTTTGTCCGACATTACATTTTATTTTGAGTTCGTTCAACAAAAAAGTTGTTCTTTTTCGATTCGTGACCACGAATCCGAGTCGGTTCTTTCGTGTCCACCGAGTTAAAACTGGTGCACGCATAAAATTTAATTTTTCTTGGAACGTAAAATGCAAATGAGTGGAACTCTTTCACTCCGCTCTAATTATGTAAAGCAAAAACGTCATTATCAAGTTAAATTTAAAAAAAAGCTCCATTTGAAAAGATTAACTCTTTAACGTACTCTAAAATAATAGAAACTTATTATTTATTAATTTATTTTATTATATGTTTTTTGAAAATTTAAGGAACCGTCCATCCAATGCTTACGGTTACACACACTTCTTATTCGTGTCATGAAGTTCTCGGGAAAAAAAGTACGGATACCTCACCGTCCCATAGTCAAATGTCCAGAAATTCTTCAAGAAAATCTAACAACTCTTTACTTGTGAATAATGGAAAATTTGAAGGTAAACGTTTTTTTAAAAAGAACTTTTTTTCAAACAAATTCTTTTTCTAAATGGCCAAAATGACAAAAACCTTTGTTCTAGAAGTCAGACATATCGTTCGTAAAGCCAGCACAATAGATGTTAGCACAGTTAAAGTATCCCTAAAAGACATCGTGTGTTATCTTTCGCTTTTAGAGGCTGGCAGACCAGAAGATAAATTAGAATGTAAGAACTTTTGGTTAAAAATATACTTGAGATAAAAAAAATCTTTTTAGTTATGTTTCGTCTTTACGATACCGACGGAAACGGGGTTTTAGACACAAATGAAATGGATTGTATCGTTAATCAAATGATGACCGTTGCTGAATATTTAGGTTGGGACGTTTCAGAATTAAAACCAGTAAGTTACACAAATTACTTAATAAAACAACAAAAAAATTAAATCGTTATTTTTAAGATTCTTCAAGATATGATGATTGAAATCGATTACGATGCTGATGGAACTGTATCGTTGGAAGAGTGGAAACGAGGCGGTTTAACCACAATACCTCTATTAGTTTTATTAGGCTTAGATAGTAACGTTAAAGAAGACGGTAATCATTTGTGGAGATTAAAACATTTTAGTAGACCAGCTTATTGTAATCTTTGTTTGAACATGTTGGTGGGTTTAGGAAAAAAGGGTTTATGTTGTACATGTAAGTAAATTAATTAAAGAAGCCATAAAGAATAAAAATAGGAAAATTATTTTTCTTTCAAGTTTGCAAATACACAGTTCACGAAAGATGCGTTCAAAGAGCACCCGCAAGTTGTATAGCTACTTATGTAAAAAGTAAAAAATCCTCGCAAGCTTTACAACATCATTGGGTGGAAGGTAATTGCCACGGAAAATGTGCAAGATGTCGGAAACCAGTTAAAGCTGGTATTACAGGATTACACTGTAGATGGTGTCAAATAACGGTAAGATATAAAATTTTTATGTATTAAATACGCAGCTTCAAAATACGAAAATAATTATGGTAATTTTTAGTTACATAATAAATGTGTTTCACTTGTAAAAGCTGAATGTGGTTTAGGAGAACACGCTATGCATATTTTACCGCCGACGGCAATTTGCCCAATCGTTTTAGATCGTCAAAGATCCTTGCAAAAGCGCGGGTCGAAATATGGACACGAAAACGTAAATAAAAACAAATCTCACCTTAAAATCCAATTGTATCTTCCTTTTTTATTCCATCTAAAAGGGAAACACGACAAAACAGCCGGCGATGTCTTTTCAAATTACGATAACACCGAACATGTCGCCCCTTTTAGTATTCATAAACCCGAAATCCGGGGGTAGACAAGGTGGAAGGATCCTGAGGAAGTTTCAGTACATTCTCAATCCTAGACAAGTACACAACTTGGCAACAGGTGGGCCAATACCGGGACTCAGTATGTTCAAAGACGTTCCCAACTTCAAAGTGATCTGCTGTGGAGGTGACGGAACTGTTGGATGGGTTTTAGAAACTATGGGTAAGTTATTTTAAATAAGATTAATAAATGTTTTTATAATAAAATTAAATATCTCAATAATGTTTTATGGTGTAATTACATACATTTCGGTAAGAATAAGAAGTACTGCTCGTAAGCAGTAATAACTAAGGTGACCTTCTTTTACTATGAAAAAGACGAAAAAATGAAAAACGTTTTAATACACTGACCAGCAAAAAAAACTAGCCACTAAAATTTAGCCACAATTTCAAAGCTGGCTTTCTTGCGAACCACTCATTCGATTTTGATGATTCTTTTTTTGATCGAAAGGTTGATTCTTCTGTAATAATCCTTAATAATTTTAATTCGGATATTAATTTGAGCATATACGGGCAGCAAGAATGAGAAAAACTTTTTTCTAGAAATTTATAATACCCTGTGGGGTGCAGATGCTACAGCAGACAGCCCCGGATCTAGGGGGGGGCAAGCCGGGGTCTATGCCCCGGGCAGCAATTCACACTTTACAGACGAATAGACAACTCATTTACTTAACTTTGACAACTGAATAAGTAATAGTACAAGTATGTTCTATGTGGTACAGGACGTTGGCTAATTGCGAAAGGGTTAAAAGATCTTGGCTTATATTTTCCAACAATATGACAAAAAATGCAATTTTTTGTGCGTGCTGCAAGATTTACCAGAAACCGTCTTCTACCGCCACATCTGCATTGTGTTCTACAGGGTTTATTAATTGGAAAAATTTTTCAGAGAGATTAACCGAACACGAGGCAACTCAAATGCCCAAAGAGTGTATGACAATGAGAGAGTAAGTCACTCAGAGAAAGAAAAATGGAGACAGATCCTGCATATTGTTATGGATGCTGTATTGTATCTATCCACAAACTGCCTTTCATTTCGCGGGTCCCACGAAACTCCTAGCGATCTCATCACACAATGTCCTCAGCCTAGTCAAGGTAACTTCTTGAACTTAATTTCCCTGCTCGCCAAACATAATTCAACTCTTAAGTTTCAATTAAAACACTTAAAAAGCGGACAAGTATCATATTTATCAAAGACAATACAGAATGAAAAGATTAACATAATGGCAAAAACAGTTAGAAATTGCATTTTAAATGACATCAAAGAAGCCAAATACTACAGATAGATGTATCCCATACAGAACAAATGAACCAGGTAATTCGATATGTAAAATGAACTGGCGATGTGTGTGAAATAAAAGAAAGTTTCATTGATTTCATAGAAATTGCTGGAAAGACAGGAGAGGACATTTATCAACAGATTTTAGAAAAATTGGCAGTTGATGATTTAGATATTGGACAATGTCGTGACCAATCTTATGATAATGGGCCGGCATCCATAAAGGAGTACAAGCCAGGATTGCAGAAAGGAATGAGCTGGCCGAGTTCGTACCGTGCTTGGCTCACTCCTTAAATCTTGTAGGTGTTCATTCTGCCTCGTCATGCCTGGAAGCTATTAACCTATTTGTACTGATTCAAAAAGTATATTGCTTTTTTGTTGGCTCCATTACTAGGTGGGACATTATAAAAAATACATTAAAACAAATTTAAAAGCAAGTAGTCAGACAAGATGGTCGGCGAAACACTATTTGGGCGAACATTCTGCGCGAAATCAATCGAGTGAATATAAAAACTCAGAAAGAAGATATTATCCTTGCCCGTTACGTCGCACTAATGGATGGTCTGCTCAAAACTTTGCAAAAAATGAGACAAAATCCAATGGAATATTGGATAAAAGAGGCTGGAAAAGTTTCTGAAAAAAGTGAAAAGAAAAAACTAAAAAAAGCCAGGAACTCTACGTTTTTAAAGAGCAAGCTCTGCTTTTATTTCGTGATATAGAAAAGGCTAACGGTTTCCATCTCTTGCAACAGATCTATGCGCATGATTTGCAGGATGCTTTTCCTAGTATTTGTATTGCTCTGCGAATTAACTCTACGCTTCCTACTACATCCGCAAGCCGTGAGCGAAGTTTTAGCAAATTAATAATGGTATGGGCGGGTATTATTTTAGTTATATATTTCTTTAATTTTAACATTTACACCTCCCAAATGGCCTCTCATGACGGCTCCTCATCGTAAGTTTGACCAAGTAATTTATTTGGAGAATTTTTCAACACTAGATGCAGCTGTTGTAAAATACATTTGGATAATAGATCAGCGTCTTGCCCTTTTGGATTGAAAAAACCCCAAAACCTTTCAAAAATCTACCCGTATAATTCATACCGGAACACTAAAACCATCTGACAATGTGTTGAAATATCTGTGGTGTCATCAGACATTACTGCTAGAAAAGAACTTTTTTTCAATTTCGTGCAAAATATGATCTCTGCAGACTTCAAACATACATTGTAACAATTCATTTTGCACTGTTTTCGACGTCCCTTTAAAAACACGCGAATCACCCCCAGAGTCCTCCCTCACCATTCCACTGGGATCATTTTATTTTTTATTTATTTATTATTGCTGCCGGGGTGAGGGGAGCGGCGCCTCTCGTTACCGCGACCTCTAAGATCTATTGTAGCTTTAGCCCTCCAAAGGTTTAGGGCAAATATAGATCCTTGATGAACCTTAGTACTATCCTGAGGTCTTAACCTTTATGTCGGTAGGTGTCAAGGGAGTTTTACCGAAAATGTTGTGTATTAGACGGCGTCTGGCGACGCATTTGCACAATATATGTTCAGCAGTTTCTGACTCGTCGTTGCATAGTCGACAAGTTTGATCCTCAGCTTGTCCAATATGGAAGTAGTGGTATTTTTTAGGGGCGCATGGCCGGTCAGGTAACCTGAAAGCATCCGTAGATCCCCTTTGCTGAGGCATAAAACCTCTTTGGTTTTGTTTGGTTTCTCTTTGGAAATTCTTTCCAGCGTAAGGCTACCTTTGAGACCTCCCAATTGTTGATTATTTGTTTTAGGTGGCTTTTTTGTATAACTATAGATGTGAATTTTTCCAAAAAAAAACACTGTTTAAAAACGATGAAAGATATTTTATTCAATTATTAAATCGGTGCTAAATTATAAAAATATACATATAAAAAACGATTTCGGAACAAACGTTGACGGTTTGTACATTAAAGCATTAAAACACAAAGACGGCTCATCTTTATATTTATATACATATATATATGTCTACTATTATTAATACTCAAAAATCAAAAAACAATACTTTTTAAGATGACGACCGGAATACAATTTGCAGAACAGGTTTTGAAAATTTTGACTTTACTGCAATGTATTCGATGTGACTAAATTTAATAACGACAATAAGGTTGTGTTAATGCGCAGATGCAAGGATTTCCAAAATCTGGTTTTACAAAAATTTCAAAAAATATCGTTGTTTATTAAATTCGATGTTTTCGTTAATTAAAAGTTCTTTATTATCGAGATAGTTTTTGTGTATGTAGAACTCTTCTAATATGTCGAGTGTTTTAGATTTATGAATTCTTTTAATCATTTGCATTTGATCGATATTGGTATTATGATTATTATCCGAAAGGTGTCTGTATGATTGTTTAGTTACGTGTTCTCTAAACCTGGTCTTAAGATTACGCCCTCTCTATCCGATGTAAAACTTGTCAGTCAGCGCATTTAAGTTTATAAACACCACTCATATCCAGTGGTGAAAATTTATGTTTGTTGTTAATTATACATTTACTAATCAAAGAGTTGTTCGAGAAGGAGGCTGTCAAATTGAAGTTATGAAGGCACTTATTTATAATGCGTGGTATCTGAGGTTTGTATGGCAAAGATATATATTTATTGACTTTATTAAAGTGAGGATAAATTAATTTAATAATATCCGCTATGTTGTATTTGTTATTTATGGGATTTATGTTATTTACGTTATGGTTTAATGGGATTCTGTTAAGTCTGGTAAATAAAAATCGGAAGCTAGCCTCCTTATGTCTAATATCATGAAACGAGTTTTTGGGGATCACTACGTCGGTGGTGGTTGGCTTTCTGAAAATGTTAAATTCTAACTTGTTAAGGTTTAAGTTCCTAGTAATGGTTAAATCTAAAAAGTTGATGGAATTGCTTGTCTCTATTTCGTTGGTGACTTTTTTGTAGTCCACAGCCAGGTTGGGACACTCTTTGGCCAGCTTGTCCGCCTTCTCATTGCCCTCAATGTTGCTGTGACCCACCATGGGGTAACATCATTGCCCCTAGCGAGTTCTCTCAGGTTGCTGGTCACACGTGTAGGCCTGAATTGCCTTTAAGGCGGCCCGACTGCCTGTGAAAATGTTTATGGATGCACCTTTCTGTCCCTTCTGTAGATTCAAAGCGGTGCAGAAGTTTATAGCAAGAACTTCTGCTTGGAAAATTGTTATGTCCGAGCTGAGGGACAGTTTAATGTGGCTATTTGGTCCACTGATGCCCATGCCTACTCCGGATCTAACTGTCTTTGAAGCATCGGTGTATATACCAGGCTAGGGCTCCTCCTTTTAGTTGAGGCCCTCCCTTCGCCCAATCATCCCTGCTTCTAAATATGACCTTATACGGTTGGTTGAAATTGTATTCTGTAGGTATAAGGTCCGTTTTAATTTCAATCAGGTGATTTAGACGTGGGTCCTTGAGGATTTCGAGGTTACCCTGCAAGTACTTGAGTGAAGAAAGTGTTTTCAGCGATAAGGCACTTGAAGCCAATCCATCTTTCTGAGTATTCTGTATGCAATCCCGTACAGGAGCATAATGAGCTGGGCAATCATCTTGTTGAAACCACATTTCTCTGTAGATATTGAGTGGCACATCTTCTAACAAAGTTGTTGAATCATTTTGGAGGAAATACAAATAACATACAAAAGTATGAATTTTTTAAATAACGTGTTTTTTGCAGAAAAACAGGCAATAATATTTTTTAGGAAAAGAAAAATGGCAAGTGTTGTACTATTTTGGAAACTTAACTAAACATGCCATCTTTTAAAATTGCTTGCCAAGGGTGTTAAACTTAATAGACATAAATTCTTTCAACCTTAACTCAATCAAATTAATATATTTTTTTGCAAAACTAACGACTTTTGTTGTTTGATTTGTAACTTCTACAGTAGCATGGTTCACAAGGAATAGATTATTAAAAAAATCACTATTAAATTGCGAACATTTCTGACCGTAGTACCTAAAGATATAATGTACGGGATCGATTTTTAACATTTTCAAAAGTATGTCTATTACCACTTAACTAAGAGACATGGAATTTTTTTCTCATTTTTACCAGAACAGGTATGGGTTGGCCTCTCACCCGGTACCCGCTTGACGTTGACTTTCGGGACAGCCTGTATAAATGGAGCGGTGTGAGATCGAGTAGGACTTCCAAAGCAGCCGTCGGACAGGATCTCATTGCATCCGTTATGTTAAGACATGCTAACCGCTGGATTTGTGCCAGCTGTTGTTGTGCTGCCTTGTTTTGTTTTTGACCAAACCAACGATGGGTCTGATTATTGCTACGTAGGCCCAATGAGCCATTCGTGGTTTGGTTCCTTCCTAGGAGCCTGCAGCAGATCTGGCTTGCCATGGTGGCCCTTTTCCTCACCTTATCTAAGTGTGAGTTCCAGTTTAGTTTACTGTCTAGTATTACCCCTAGGTATTTAACTTCTGTTTTGAGATTAATAGTTCTGCTTTCAATGGAGGGTGCTTTTATTTGTAGCTTCCTTCTCCGAGTGAAAGGGACTATTTCGATTTTATTGGGATTGATGCTGAGTCCATTGCTTCCACACCAAGTACTGGTGAGTAGTAGGGCTTTCTGCATTAGTTGAGTTATGATTCTATCATATTTACCTCGGATTGTGATTACCAGGTCATCAGCATACCCTTGAATCTTAAATCCGTTTTTAGTTAGGGTGTTCATACCAGACTAGCTGTGATCTGCCGACTTTTCAACATGGCTATACACCACTTGATTGTCGACGGATGTATATCTTTTACGTTTAGAGCCTTCTCTATAGATTCATAGGAGGTGTTATCAAACGCACCTTCTATGTCTATGAAAGCACATAGGGCTATCTCTTTGGTTGCAATTGCCTCCTCTAAAGTGCTATATAGTCAAAGCACGGACTAGGATCATTCCATGTTAAACTATAGCGTTTTTGGTGAGTCACACTCATGAAAACTATGTTAAGTTCCGAAAAGCTGAAAATAACGAAAAATGCAGGAATTTTAGGTAATTGGGTAATTTTTTAATAAATGTTTAATAAGTTTAAGTAAGTTTAAAGATGGTAAGGAAATATAGATTTTCTTGTTGGCTATAAATCATATCTAAGAACTTCTCAAAAAAGATAAATGATATCACATAAAATCCAGAGGTCTACTTTAACGTCAATTCCTTTCGATTTTTGTATGGTAGACAAAGTGGATTTGGAGTGTCAGCCGGCCGTCGGAGTGATTCCTTTGGGTACTGGAAACGATTTAGCTCGTTGTTTAAGATGGGGTGGCGGCTACGAAGGCGAATCCGTCCACAAACTTCTCCATAAAATTGCCCGAGCGTCAACGGTGATGCTCGATCGATGGTTGATAGAATTATCGGATACCGGATTACCCGAACCCGCAATGACTCAAGCTGACACCCGGATTCCTTATAACATCATCAATAATTACTTTTCAATAGGAGTGGTAAGTTACATCATCCTAAATAAAAGGAAATATTAAAAGTAACATAATTTAGGATGCTGCAATTTGCGTTAAATTCCATTTGGAGCGCGAACGAAATCCAGAAAAATTTAATAGTCGCATGAAAAATAAATTGTGGTATTTTGAATACGCGACTTCCGAACAATTCGCGGCTTCCTGTAAAAATTTACATGAAGATATCGAGATTATTTGCGATAACGTTTCGTTAGATTTAGCGAAAGGATCGCCACTTCAAGGAATAGCCCTCCTAAATATCCCTTATACGCATGGAGGTTCGAATTTATGGGGGGAACATTTATCAGGATCAAGAAAACGGAAATCAAAAAAGAAAAAACCACAAAAGGAATTAAGCAGCAACAGTTTTAATTCTATTGATTTAAGCGTTGCTATACAAGGTAAGTAATTTTTTACGCATTTATTTTTTTGGAATTATTACATTTAATATAAAATAATCACATCAAATCCTACTACAAATTAACCCTCAAAAAATTTGGGTAAAGCATCCCCTAAAACGACTTTGCGCTCAATACCTTTCTCTGTAATAATCCCCAAACGTACTACACCTCCAGATGATCCATCTCGTGACATAGCCAAAGCAAGGGCTACACAAAAATAATCATAAATAAATCAATTAATTTTTTTTATACTTACTATTAGTTATAAATTGGACGCATTCAGCTTCACTCATATCTGGCTTATAATGAGCATCAACATAACCATAAACATAACTAGATCCAGATCCCCCAATAGAAACTGGTTGACGAACGCACATTCCCCCAATTGGAATCGAATAAACTTGACCACCTTTACGTTTATCCCAACCAGCGACTAAAATCCCAGCCATAAGAGAATCTCGGTAGTTGTAACAAAGCTCTCTAAAAACAGCTGCCCCTACTTCCACTAAAGGTTGCTCACCAAGTTCCATTCTAAATAACAAAATTAGTATTGTAATAAAAAACGTTATTATTGAACTCACGCATGAAAATTAAGATGGTAAGATACAATATCCGCTATTGCTTGTGTATCAGCAGCTGATCCAGATCGGCAACAATATATATTATCGGTTACTTTCGTTAATTTATCCGTAACACGATTTGCTATGTAAGCACTACAAAAAAAATTGATTAAAAATTTAATTTAAATTAATAAAACTTATTTTACCCGGTTGTTGTGCGGGAATCAGCCCCAATAACAACACCCCCTTTAAATTCCGCTGCCATAATCGAAGTCTACAACAAAAATTAAAAAATTAGAAGAGTCATCGGAACATAACCTCAAACATCTTTTTTCACAAATTACGTAAAGAATTAATGAATTACTTACCCCCGTACTATGTGCAGCATTCATCCAATCATGAGGGGAAGGATTTTGGGTATAATTTTCCACTAAAACCGGCGAATACATCTTAAAAGATTCAAAATAACTTCGTCACTACAATTGACAGCGTAAATACACAAATTGAGGTTAGGTTTCCTGCTTTATCGACTAAATGGGTGCGGTCATTTGTGCTAAAGTCAATAATTCTAATAAATGGATATCCTAATTTTAAATTTAATTTTAAAATTTTATTTTTAATTTATTAATTTGTTTTTTTTAGATATTGGTGATGGTTTAATAGAAGTAATCGGTTTAGAAAATTGTTTGCATATGGGACAAGTTAGAACCGGACTTAGGGCAAGTGGTCGAAGACTTGCTCAATGTTCTTCTATTATTATAAAAACGAAAAAAACGTTTCCCATGCAAATCGATGGTGAACCATGGATGCAACCTCCTACTACGGTAAATAAATTAATTTTTGGTTAAAAAGAATTTTAATAAATAATTTTAGATAAAAATCTCGCATAAAAATCAAGTTCCGATGTTGATGGCTCCTCCACCAGATAAAGGAAAGGGTTTATTTCGATTTTTCAGGAGGTAGGTGTTTTTCAAGGAAATAAGAATCTTAAATAGTGATATTAATTGTTAATTGTCAATAAAAAAAAGTCTAGTCATTATCATCATTAAACAAAAAGGATTTAAAAATGGATTTGCATAAATAGTAAAAATTTATTTAATGTTAGAGTTAATCTTAAAGTTGTTTCTTTTAAAGCTTCTTTTTTATATTATCGACAATAATGTAACCGTCTTGAAAACATTTCATCGTGAACATTTCAAAAATTTCGTAAACTACGCAGTATTAAAAATAAAACTTGGTTTATTTCGAATTAGGTAACGAAATTGTGAAAAAAGAAAACAAAAAGATAGACTGTTTTTGTGAACATTTCCAGGCCTATTTAACCCCGTAATAAATCGGTGTTAAAACATAATTATAAAAAAAAATAGTTTACAACTAAAATATTTAATAAAGTATTCGTTAAATTTAATTATATAGGGTGATTCATAACTCGTGTACAATTTTTTGGATTTTGATCCAAAAAAATACTTTAAACAAAAAGAATAAGAATAAAATTTTCACGTTTTTGCCTTTATTTACGAGATATACAAGTTTTACACATTTTAGCACAGAAACTTTATACGAGCCCTAACTACTATATATTGGGACATAATAGAATTTATATGTAATTAACAACAATTAAACAGATTATTTTGTTTTAATACATTTTTCAAATTAATATCATTTAATCAGACAATTAACAACAATTTTATCTAATGAACCACACAAAAACAAAATACATATCCTATTACTTCTAATTAAACTAGAAAAATGTAAATTTTGACTGACCTCTAAATATTGGGACATTGCACGATTTGTATTTCTAATATGGAGTAACATCGCCCTTAGATTTTATAACCGCTTGAATTCGGATGGGCATTGAATTCACTAAGGTTCTACACTGTTCAGAAGTAATTTGCTTTATTTTGGCTTTAAGTTCTGGCAATGTCCGTTGTGGGTTGTTCCTCAAAGTTTGTTTCATTTTGTGCCACACTGTTTCAATTACATTCAGATCTGGATTGTTGGTAGGCCAATACAGAACATTAATATTTTGTTGAAATGAAATAATAATAAGTAATCCTCTTGACCTTAAAGTTTTTCTCAACTTACAGTCAAATATTTAAAAAATCACGCTGAACAAAAAAATTTCTACGTTAAAATAAAATTTATTTATTATTATTATTTAAAAGAAACACGAAAATAACTATTCTAAACAAGAAAACGCAATACCGTACACAATTGAACTCCAAAGACGATTGTCAAATCAACATCGAACTAAATTTAAAACAGGTTACAAAAAGGAATAAAAATATCAGAGTAAAATAATTTTAAAATGAAATTATTATTTTTTTTTTTTTAAAAAGGTGTATAGTGGTTTACAATAGTTTTCGAGTTGATCATTTAAAGTAAGATAGTTATCATTATGTTTAAGTTTATCGATTTCGAACATTTCAAGGAAATTCATTTCAAACCTTTTTTTACACTTATGTAGGAGTTATATATTGTCATAATCAATGTTATGGCCTGTTTCTAATTTATGTTTGAAAATGTTCGAAGTGCATCTGGTTTTATGTTGGCATAGTCTTTTTTGTAATTTTCGACCAACATACATAGCAGAACAGTCGCAACACTTAACAGAATAGAGAATAGACACCACTACAAACAAAGCGTTTTTGTTTGTAGTTAGAAATGGAATCACCCAGTTGTCCTTTACATTTAAAGCTGACAAATACACCATAGGTTTGTAGTATGGTTTTAATTTTGCAGTTTATTTTGTTGTATGTTATTGCCTTATAGTTGTCAAAGTTATTTTTATTCGTAGAGTATAAAGGTCTAGTTTTATGAGGTTTTTATACTGTAATTGGTCGATGGTATAACTTGGATAACCATTTTCTCTTGCTAATCTGTTAATAAAATTTAGTTCTTTTAGTTTGGATGTATAGTCTAGAGTATATTTCAATAGTCTGACAATAAAAGCCTGAAAAGCAGCTAATTTGTAGTTGTTGGGATGGAACGAATCATAAGGGATGACAGTATTTAAAGATGAGGGCTTCCTAAAAATGTCAAACTTAATCATACAGCCCCAAATGATTACTCCCTTCGGAAATTTTACACAACGTTTTAAACAATCTTTATGAAATGCCTCATGTTTATTGCAAATTTCGATTCATCGCTGAATATTAATATTATCTTCTGCTGACCAAGACAGTTTAGATTTTGCCCATATGAGGCTGGCTTTCTGTTGTTTTTCTGTTAACAGTGGTTTTTCTGTTGCTTATAAAACAACAATTTTCTAAAAGCGACATTTTTTAATTATTGCTTGTAAGTAAACCTCGTAAAACTTTAATCAACTTTTAAGAATCCATTTGCGACAGCATTCCCTTGATATATTTAATCCAGTTTCATTATTCCATTCAGCGGTAACTTGTCTTAAAATATTTCTTCGTCCTTTTTTGCAGATTTTTACAAGTATTCTTTTATTTCTATCAGAAACTAACTTTGGACGACCTGAACTTTTAGGCCAGGCGCGCACTAGCGATTTAGTTGCGGCAACTTAAAAATCACCAAAATGAAATACACTGAGTTATATGAAGCGGCGCGCACTAGCAACTATTTAATCACGGCAACTAAAAAATTACATCTTGCCCTATTTTCAAGGCGACTCAACTGTTGCCGGGAATAATGCAACGTACACGTTTTAACCTGNTTAACCCCGTAATAAATCGGTGTTAAAACATAATTATAAAAAAAAATAGTTTACAACTAAAATATTTAATAAAGTATTCGTTAAATTTAATTATACAGGGTGATTCATAACTCGTGTACAATTATTTGGATTCTGATACAAAATAAAACTTTAAACAAAAAAATAAGAATGAAATTTTCACGTTTTTGCCTTTGTTTACGAGATGTACAAGTTTTACACATTTTAGCACAGAAACTGTATACTACTAGTTAATAATAATATGTTTTTGGAAAACAGAGTTGTCATAGAAACGCAATAATGCATTCTTTGGATGTATACATGGGGGTATTTACCCAAGATGGGTATTTAGAGGTATTTATAAAATTTATGGTACAAAGACAACTAAAAACGTAAACAAGTTTTTTCCGAATCTGCCATATTTTTACTTGTATCACTTTTATAGGTATTTAATAACTTATCTTCCAATTTGCATGTTCCCTATAAACCTCTCCACCATAAAAGTGTGTGGCATGGTATGAAATCACGTCGGTGAGATAAAATGGTTTTTGCCCATATATCTTCTTTATCTCGAAAATTTGCTAACTTAGATCTTAACTTTATTTCATTTATACAGTGTGTCCCCGGATTGTGTCCCCGTAAGGTATAATTGACGATAAATTTTTGAATTGAAATTCCATCTTTTGCAATTAAAGTCTGGATGTCATAAAACGAAATATAACCAAGTTTTACGTCAAATGTCCTCAAAGTACCAAAGTTAACGCAAGAAGTTTGTTAACGGTTGCAGGTAAAGTGGTCTTTCTGAGCAATGTACAACAAAAGTTGATTAAGATAAAAAGTATGTTATGTTAAATTATAGCGATATGCCGAATTTTATTAATTTAGGATATAAAAGCAAAATGCAGATTTTTAAATCATAAGATTAACAAAACATTTTCGATCTAAGCTAAATTAACATAAAAGCTTATTCAATGATACCACCACCAACACTAACACATAATTCAGCCCTTTTCCGACATTGTTTATAACTTTTTCTAATTTGTTCCAACGGAATTTCTCTAATAACAGTTTCAATTTTTTGTTTTAAACTGTCTAACTTGTTATTAAAATTTTTAGTGTACACTTTTTGTTTTACATAACCCCAAAAATAAAAATCTATAATAGATAAATCCGGACTTCTTGGCGGCTATGGTTGCGGACCATATCTACCAATCCATTTTTTTCCAAATAACGTATTTAACAAATTTCTAATTAAAATGGTCGAATGAGGGCCGCAACCATCTTGTTGAAAATATAATTTATTGCGTTCTTCTAAATCCGCGCCGTCAAGATAATTAAATAAACAATTTTCTAGTACTTTCAAATATCGGTGTTGATTCAAATTGCCGTTTATGAAGTAAGGTCCAATAACACCGTTCAACGAAACAGCACACCACACATTCACTTTCTGGGAATACTGGCGTTTACAAGCTATGCGATAATTTGGATTAGTCTTTGAGCAGAATCGACAATTTTGCGATGTAACCACTCCATTAGTGGTGAACCATGCTTCGGCCGAAAATATTATGTTTTTTAAAAAAGTTCTGTCTTTCAAAATTTTGTACCCAAGCCACAAACAATAATCTAAACGTTTTGCTTCATCACCTAATTCGATAGTGTGGTGAAATGCTGGTTTATTCGGCAATATTTTATTTTCTCGATAAATTCTTTGTAATTGGGATTTACTTATACCAACTTGAACTGCCCTTTTTCTTAAGGACACCTTACCGTAATCCATTGCATTCGTTAATGCAACAATCGACCCCGCATCATGTTCATCTAAAAGCTTTTTTTTCTTCCTTTTATTTTCCACATTGCCCGTTTCCGAAAATTTTTTAACAACTCTCTTAATTGTTTTTTTATCTACTAAAAATCCAAATTTTTCCTCAAATTGCCTTAAAATTGCATTGTAAGTAATGTTCCCCAATCCATAGCACTGCACTATAAATATTTTATGTTGTAATGTAAACATTATTAATTAATATTTGACAATAGGCTAAGCTATCAAATGATAATTGTTAGTTCACTCAGATCATTTGATTTTATCTTAATCAACTTTTGTTGTACATTGCTCAGAAAGACCACTTTACCTGCAACGGTTAACAAACTTCTTGCGTTAGCTTTGGTACTTTGAGGACATTTGACGTAAAACTTGGTTATATTTCATTTTATGACATCCAGACTTTAATTGCAAAAGATCGAATTTGAATTCAAAATTTTATCGTCAATTATACCTTACGGGGACACAATCCGGGGACACACTGTATAAGAATGCTTTCTCACATTACGTAACACATCATTGCGTCCAACAACTGAGTGCGATTTAAATCGCACCTATGAGTTGATGAATTTACCAAATCTGCGGCAAAATGTATGTCGTCTAGTGCAAACTTCTTTCTGTTGTTCATTTTTTTAATAATATTTCTTCGAAATTGATGATATAAAGTCGACTTCAGTTTTGTTAATTCCCTGTAGACAATATGTATTTGTGGTTTATTAGATTGCACTTTTATCAATAAGTTTATTATGGGCTCTAACAGCAACATCAAATTTTGGATATGATTCCAAAAGTTATCATCATGGATTTTTTCATTATTTCTAATGTGATTATAACTCCTTCGCAGTGGCCCGGGCACAACAATGTATTGGCGCCCCCTCCAGAAATGATATAATATACAGAA